GTTTGTCAGAGAGAGAGAAACATTGTGTGTCTTCTCCCCGTCTGTGCATAGCTGTATTCCGCTCCCTACTTCGATATGTGTGCAGTGTGGACTCTGTCTCCTCTCCCCCTTCTGTTATGCATGTATGGGCATGTATGAGATTGTCTGTGTGTAAGTGGCGGTGAAAATCATCAGACAACCAAGTTCATAACACGCATGCCAGGAACCAACCCTGCACAGACCAGCCAAAGACTAACAGGCAATGGAAGCTAGCATAGCAAAGCCATAAAACAAGACTGCCCTTCCCTCGGTACAGGGGCCGAGGTACAGCCGTGTGCAGGATAGAGGGCAAGAATAGACTGTCAAATGGCTGAAGGACGGGAAACACTGGCGAGCACAGGACCAACAGTACTCCATCCACAGACTGACGTTGACCACAGACGCGGATTATCCACAAAAAGCCTTGGCATCCACTGCAGGCCGAGACACGACCAGCCAGCCAGCCCGGGGTTAACACAGACCAAACAGCGGAGCTCTGGAACGGAAAGAAAGCAGGGTAGAGGCAGGTACATCACAGGCAGAGTCTAGAGTGCAGTTCCAAAGCCGAAAAAAACAGGAGCAGTGGCTGGTACAACACAAGGCACATCACAGGCACAAACATGATAAGCCAGCCTGTTCTGGGCGAACGCAAAGTACTCAGTAGCACTCCGGAACACACAGAGGATGCAGTGCAGTGGGCGGCTAATGCATAGCAGCAAAAACATATAACAGGTACAAACAGAGTGAGAGTAGGGCAACATATTGATCTTTGTAATAGGTGGATGCTGCAGCCTCTAGCAGTACGGAGGTTGAAACCAGTACCAGAAGCAAAACTGGATCAATGTGTCACATGTATCATTCGGGATGCTGGACCCGTTTTCCAGCAGGTGCAGCTCCCCAACAATAGATGGAGCTTTGACAGGGAGGGCCACTTGCATAGTGCGCTCGTATCGCCTCCTCAAGTGGTATCCTCCCCCTGAGTTTCGCCCCAAAAAAAAAAAACACTATAATCACCCACTTTATCATCGATTTCTATCTACTTTTACATCTACCTGTCGCGGTATGATATGATCAACTGTGAAATACCCAATCACTGGTGAAGGTTATTAGAGTACCGTGAGCCTGGCAACCAGATATCCAAATAAATAGACTGCAATTCAAAGGCATATTAATTATTAAATTAATATTAATATTATTAAATTAAATTATTCATTTCTACCATTACTTTCTGCACACATTTGGAGATGAGATATCTTACAAGTTACAACTATTGCAACCATTTGCAAGACGTACATAGTATATCCAATCGTTGGCTTCGGTGAAATGGACCATGTAGATGTCAAGAAGGGGGGGAGGTGAAAGGGCAACAGGCAGACGCAGGAAAATAAATGAGCATTGGCATGGAGAAATTGCAGCCATTGCTCTACCAGTTTCTCGTCACAAGCTAACAATGGCCCTACACATTGCTCAGACCTGCCATTGCTCGAGTAGTCCATTCGAGCAGTAGTAATATTGTAGTATTGAACTTCAGACGGAATTATGTAATACGATAGCTACTGATATTACATGAAATATAAATTATATAATACACACTAATATGCCGTGCCTTGTACCTGAGAGGCACAGGAAAGGGGGAAAACTTCCAGTCCAAAAAGCCAAAAAGGGGCGGTTTCAGTGTGCCTCATGCTGATTGCTCTTCTCTTCATTTGTCCCGCAAGGTGCACTCTTTTGGTCTACACTAACTTCACAGATATGCAACAACGTTGATAAATATCATCCTTCTAACCGCACATACCCCCACTGCACGTCTGCGCTGCCGCGCATGGTGCCATGCAGTAGAATTAGGTGCAGGGAGCGAAGGAAAAGAAGGGGGAGAACGGGAGGGGGGGGGGGGGGGGGGAAAAGGGTTGGGGGGGGGGGGGGGGGAGGGGAGGGGGAGGGGGGGGGGGGGAGAGAGAGAGAGGGGGGGGGGGGGGGGGGGGGGGGGGGGGGGGAAGAATACGGTTTTGAGGGATTGTCTTTAGCCAGAACTTGCTAAAAAAAAACGTTTTGTGTCACATAGAAGGTGTACTTTCAACTTCTTTGGGATTTTTTTTGGGCATTTTATTCGGGCACTCGCATGCCATGTGCTGCGCGGGTTCAGTGTGGCAGCGCACGCACGTACACAAATGCACACACACCACCACACTTGCTATTACCAAAATAATAAAATATAAATATACAACTCTGCTACCAAGTGATGCCAAATGAGAACGTGTACAGACAAGCTAAGGTCCGCAGATGTGTATACACGAGCAGTAGGTGAGCAAGGGAGAGAGCACCAGATTTTTTAGAACCAGGAGAGAGGTAGGCAGTGTAAGGAAAGGTGGGAGGCAGGGGATACCACTGTCGGATGTTCAATTTCCTTGCATGGGCCAAGGCGGAGGAGGGGTGGGGAGAGAGGAGGGGGAGGAAGGGAAGGAAACGGGGAAAGGAAGGAAAAGACCAAAAAAAAAAAAGAAAAACCCCAAAAAAGAGAAGGAGGAAAGCAGGCATACAAACCCCAGGTGTGAGGTGCGGGGAAGTGAAAAAGAGCGGACGCGAAGAAAATTGCTGTGCTTTTTTATCAACCTTAATATTGCACTAATTATTAATTATCTATTATTCAATGTCACACACATTCCGCCTGAGTGGCCTAATCGACAAATTATTAACCAATGTTCTACAGGGGCACAGCAATACGAAACCAGCAGGACGAAATCCTCAGATCACAGTGTGGATCATCCTACTTCAGGCATGAAAAGTTGAAAACAGTATTTATGAAAGGTGTGGCAGTCCTTGAAAGCCCCAAGAAACCCATATCCAGTGAGGTGCTTCCACAGACAGTGACGTGCTTTTACAAGGGGAAACCTCCAAAGTCCACCTTCCAGGCACCTCCATCCGGTAGAGAACAGCAGAAACAGCTGTGCATGGCACTCTTGATGCATGGAGAGACACGTCATCGGCGTCTAAACCCAGGTTCATCGCCTTTCCCACATTCCAGTGAACAACGATTTTACATCTGCTGCACCACCATATTCATCAGTCGCGGATATCACTCTGAGGTTCTCTCGACCCTCAATCATTCCACTCTTGATGCACGGAGAGATATGTCCACGGCGTCGAACCCAGGCTCATCGCCTTTCCCACTTTCAAGTCTAGACGACAGTCTGTGGCTTGGGAAAGGGCAACAGAAAATGTGGTTGAGAACCCCCGAGAGCTTCAGACAAACTTTGTGTTCGCTGCATTGCCTGTTTTAAGTGGCACTCACCCTCCAAATAGTAGGGAGTGCCGCCATACATTCGACTTCTTCAACACCGGAACAACAACCACAATGGTTGGAAATGCCCGAGAGTCCCCGACACATCTTCAAACAATATACTATAGCCAGAAGGGGAAAAAAAAACGTTTAGCTTGACAGTGCATACCGCACTCAACCCATGGCTCTCCTTGCATAATATACTACAAGTCGACAGGCAGCACTCCTCCATACCACAAGGTCTGCAAGAGGATAAAGGCATCCTCCGATTTGCAGCCACACCAGGAAATACATTAACCTCGCATAAGTCTGCAGTTTCCTTTCACTTCTGCAAACTTATCCAGTGATCGAAAGTCCCTCGCAAAGAGTACATCCTTGCCTGCTCGCTTGCTTAATAATAGTTAATACCCCCCCTCTGACCTCAGCAGCATAAATATTATACACATACGTGATCATTGTCAGAACCCCAGAGTATGTCCATCCTTTTCTAATGTGTTCTCTGTCACATTTTTCAGAGTTTTTAATACTTTTATGGAATACGCATCCTATCTTCCATACTTCTTATCCCTTAGATTGCCAGCTTCATCAACAGAAGGTCTATTACTGTTTCAACAACCATTAGCTGTTTGTTCTTCTAGACCTCTTCTTAACTTCTGTCTCACTTCCCGGAAGCTTCCCGACACCAGAGATTGAATGCCTTCCCGGGAATCAGGAGATGTTCCCGTGCAAAGATCATTCTCCCTGTCTGTGGGGCTCGCCGCACGGCACACGAAGCGAGAAAGAAACGAGTGCATCTGCCCACGAAAGGTGGCAAAATACACTCGTTACTATTTATAGCAAACCGATGGAAGATGCACTCGTTTCGTTTTTCGTTTCGTGTCCCGTGCGGCGACGCCCTGTGTCAGCAGTACCAGGTAACTCAAAAGTCAAGGGTTCAGAATCTGCTTTGGTGACCAGCTTCCCCCTCTGCAGAGAGCAGAGTGTCCTATTAAGGCTATGGTATCCTATCTAGCTAGCATAAGATGTTTCACGACAAAGTTCGACCAGTTCAAATCATAAAGGATCGCCAAGAAGACAATGAAGAGTGGAAAGCTCACATACGATTGCATCTCCAGCTCTTTATATGCTTTCACAAGGGACAAAGCTCGTTCGCTCTTGCTCGCTTGCGTTGGCAATTGACCTCGAGACTCCTCTTGGAGGGTACACACGTAATCCTAGACGGATCGAAAAAGCTACCCCAAAGAAACAGCCAGCAAAACAAGTCTGTGTGCACATTTTCTCTCTTCTAATCATCCAGCACGTATGTTCACATTCCCTTTCATCTATTATCCACACTGCCTGGTTCACATTTGGACTACTTCCCTTTATCTATTCTCCACGCTAAGTGCAACGAAGTTGCCTCTACCAAGAAAACTCGGGAACGCCTTCAACTTTTTTGTCCGTGTGCCGGCGCGAAGTGTGGCGTCAGAATTTCCATAGTACATGAAAATGGAAGGGAAACAGTCAGTAGTCTTGCGAAACTGATGGAGAGCCGTGTGCTTGGAAATCTTGCACGCACGGTTCGGAGGGAAGCTTAGTCAGATTACACACACTGCTTTCCCTATCTATTGGGTCGTTGGTTCTAATCCAACCTAGGGAGCTGTTCTGTGTTCAAATATACGGTCGACCGACATTCTATTCTAATCTAATTTAATTAGATTAGAGACGTTGTACAAGCGCTTTGTTGCTTCCCTCTCTACTGTACTTAGTCCGTATTTTCAGAATCGTAATTAAATAGACGGAATCGAATACTCAAGCTTTCTGATGAAGACAACGAATAGTTACTCAGACTGCACATCCAGCAAATATGCCTCCACAATACATTGTGCATTTTCTCTATATTCTACATCTTGCACAATCAATATCCCTGAATACATAGTACATTCTTTTCTAAATTCTTCAGGTTGAAGAATCAATCCTTCTAAAAATCATAAATTGAATCAATACTCGGTTTTCCAACTAGGAGAACAAATCGTCAATTAGAGTGTGTACATCTCAGTCAGCATGTATACCTACATTCTCTTCTCTGTCTATACTACACACTCCCCAGTTAATATTCCCAAGGCTGTAATTCAATTAAATTGACGGAATCAATTAGTCAGTTCCAAGTTAGGAGGAGAACAAATTATTAGCTTAGAGAATTCACACTTGTCCTAGATAGATCGAGGAATTTGTCCAAACAAACAACCCGCAAAAGAAGCTCGTATTCTGTGCTGCATATCCATGTTCTCAATACTTTCCTAGCACAGGTGCCTACATTCTCTTCTCCATTCTCCACATTACATAGTTAATATTGTTCCCGAATTTTGCACCAGAGCTTCCGTATATTTATTTTTGAAGTAGATTGGATGATGATGCAGAAGCTGCAGGAAATGATGCTATGCAGACTATTTACAACTTCACACCATCCTTTCTCCCATCTTCATCCCACCCATCTCTCCCTTATACACACACACAACACACAAACACACACACACACACACACACACACACACATCCAACCCCTGAAACCACCCCCCTCCCCAACTACCACCCCCCCTCCCTACTCTCCCACCATCTCACTCAGCCTCTCACTCTCACACATGAAGACTTGCATGCACGCTTATGTGGTAACCAATTCTTGCGCCCATGCCCACATGAAAAGACTGAGATTATGTAATCCACAAACCTTGGAGAGGTCCTCGCTATGATGGTTGCGTCCCCTATAACCTGAGCATTAGCTTGCAAGCGTCGCGATTCATTCTCTGTGGTGGTCTGTGATGGCAACGTCAGTCCTCCTCGAATTATCACGGACTCTCCGACTTCAAATGCACTGGCACTCTGTGCGCGACTATTCGAATCATCAGGCATAGCTCTTACTGTGTCTGACAATGCTGCTGCTGATGATGGATCTTCACAGAAATCGACAGTGGTGCCACTGTCTACAGCACTCCCTATTTCAGCACGCCCTCCACCACTGGAACTGCCGTTCATCCATCCGCATTCTTGGTCAGTCTGGGTGCCTTCATGGACTCCACGTTCCTGAGCTGTTGTGACAGCTAAGCACTGACCAACTGCTCTCCTACTATTCCCATCTCCATCATGCAGATGATCTCCTGGCAGCATCTGCAACTCCATTCCAAGGCGGTCGTTGTCCCCCTCTGGCTTGCACCCTTTCAATTGTTCATACACTTCCCTCAACTCCTCCTTTTGCAACTCGATGATCTCCATCAATATGCGAACACGTGAAGAAGAATCCATCCTACCTAGATCGCTAATTTGCATGCCTGTTTGCCTAGCTTCTCCGACGGCATCAATATCTAGGCAGTTAATCTCAACCTTCTGCATCTCCTCTAATGGATGTTGCAAACCTGACTTGTTTGCTACTCTGTTCTTTCCAGCATCTGACCAGCCGCTCAAGGAGTCAGGACTGCAACTCCTACGTTGCAATCCGCCTGCATGGATGTACAGCCCCTTCTCTACTGCATACCCATCAATATGCGCCCCCCTTATCTCGCTCCTTGCAGGGAAATCGCGCAGCACCTCGTGAACACCCATCACCCGAGAGGATGGCAAGAAGCCATCAAAATCATTCACAGAGCCATGAGAAGGGCTCTGTAGAGCCGGAGAAGCATGAGCCAGGGATTCCAGAGTAACGTTCCCTTCATCTACACGCAGATATTGGAGCAGGTCAAATTCGTCGCTGTAAAGAGTCAGAAGACGAGAATGCAGGACATCCAGCCCTCTCTGGATGTTTGCTTCCATCCAAGCTCTGGTGGACTCCAACAGACTACCAAACATTATATCAATGTCTGCCTCACACTTGGCAAGGAGTTTCCCGGCTTCATCTTCTTGAGCGACAAGCACATTGTACTTGTTCCATGTTTCAACAGTGGCCTTGTCAGGAGGAGACGCCTGCATTGGCCGATAGCCTTGGAGCTCCAGGTCAATGTTAGCCAAGCTGAACTTTGAGTCGTCTCCAAGAAGACTTCCGCTGAAGGGACCTTCACTCATCGAGTCGCCTGCATCTTGACGAGCATCCTGATCGGCCTTATGTAAAGGCTGCTTCTTTTCTTCCTGAGGAAGGCAGATATCCTGATGGCCATCGCCAGAACCGAGGACAGGCAGAGCACCACAAGGCGTGCGAACTGCAGGGTCTGAAAAGTGGTGCCCTCGCATCATGTGTGTGTGGACATCAGTGGTCAAGGTTGGCCCCTGTTCAAATCCAACGGTCGCTCTGCACGAGATGGAGCCTGCAGCACTTATGGGGGAAAACTCGGACCCGGGCGAGCTGCGGGAACCGAGTCCAAACTGGGAGTTGCCACCACCGAGGTCGAAAAAGGTCTGATCCAGATCGATGGACTGCTCGCATCTGCCTCGCAACCTGTCCCCTCTCACAGTAATCCAAGATGATATGCCAGTGCTACTGGGCACAAATTTGTTCCGAACATCACCGTTCAATGTCAATGCACAGCCCCCATGATCACTGCCATCAACATTCCGGCCTTCAGAAGGGCAGGATGGATCACTGGGAACAGATGCTACCTTCGCACGCACTATATTACAGCCATCATTTGCCAGTTGGAAATCGTAGTCACTTTGCTCATCATCCATTCCACAATGTGCAAACTGCAGACTACACACATCAACGGCCCGACCCAATGATGCCCCTTCTCCTCCGCCGCGAGTCGTCGAGAGTTCAACCTCTCCGGCACATGCATGCTGCTGTTTATCCGGTTGGCTCCCCACTTTCTCTTCCCTCATCCTCGATGTTGCAGTGGAATCAAGATCGAACCCAGGCAGTGTACCTCTGTAGTCTGCACCTACAGCTGCACCAGCACCTGGACCTGCTCGATTGCTGGGTGCTGTGGTTGAGAAAGCAGAGCCAGGCTTGGGGACTTCGTTAAAGCCCTGTGCCATGGGCTGGGTGCTGCTCAGTCGGAGTTGGAGTTCCTTCTCACAGGCTAGCCGCTCTCCTCTCGCCTGGTTGAACATACGTGTCAATTGCTCCTGTCGTCTGACGAATCGAGCAAAACGATTGAGCAAAGTTGCAATGGCTGCAGCACTCTCTCCTCCGTCATCCACCATTTTCACCGCTTCTCCACCTTTATCCACTGCTTTCATCGTGTCCGCAGCAGCAGCATCCGCCCGCAGACCTCCTCGTTCCATAAAAGAGAAGCGAGAGAGCAAGCTTGCCTTTGCCTTCTCTACCTCACTGTGTATAGCAGCCAAGATTTCTTCTGGCGCAGCAACCTCGTCCTCTGCTGCCCCGCAACCCTCCTCTGCCATCTGAGTTGAATCCTTCCTCACAGGGCCAGTCAACTGTCCTTCTTGACCGGCACCTGCATTTGGAGATACGCAAGAGTCGACCTGCTCTCAAATCCACATATAGATACACATGCACACATAAACATGCTTGGGTCATCATTTAAACAACCTTCAGGGGTTCGAATGCACACAGCAAGGGAAGGAAACTGGTGGTTAACAACATGAACACTAGTTCAAGCGTCCTCGCTTTCTCAGTAAGCACATAGATTGACTGTACATAACAACAAGGAATATTATACGAACGCCCAAGGTGTTCTCTTCTATGGTGAGGTTAAAGCAAAATGTGGATATTTCCATATCCACTGGTTAATTGCCAAGGGCTATAGTGATTCCGTTGCCCGTCTATAATGCATCGTCTATTACTCGACCAATGGACAACCCCACACTGAAAAGAAGGAAAACGGAGGAGCTAAAGCGAGAAGGGCAGCAAAGAACACTGATGATGGAAAGAACAGCATCACCTACACACAAGAAACATCATTAACAAAGGCCGTTGAATTTGGTTCATTGCCACCACCATTATCATCATCATTGTCATCATCATCGTCATCACCACCACCACCATTGTTATCGTTATCATCATCAATGTTCATCATTAGTCACAGTTCTTATGAATCATCATCACCATCAGTCATCACATCAATCATCACTCAGTGACAATTAATCATATACCATCATCATCATCATCATCCCCATCAATCATACCATCATCATCATCATCATCATCATCATCATCATCATCATCATCATCGATCATACCATCATCATCTTCTGCATCATCCCCATTAATGACACCATCAGCATCATCATCTGCATCTGCATTATCCCCATCATTTTCATCATCAGATCAAGAAGCAAGAGGAGGCCGAGGAAGGACAGGGAAGCTGCCATGATGCCATGAAACAGATGAGTCCTGATAAGGAAGACGGAGAAGCAGGGAAGCCCAACCCAGTGCGCAGACACATACCACAGTCTCATCTTCTCCCACGGGCATCTGGTCGATAGACGAGTCGTGCTCACTGTTGTTGCTGGAAGATGGCAGCCAGCTGTCCATCATGTCATGCTGCAGCTCTCCTATTCTCTGGCCAGCTTCCGCAAGGCGCTTAGAGGTTACATCAAGCTGCGCGCAGCGAGCGACATACACTGCACGCCTTCAGTGGAAGAACAAGAGCGAGCAAGGAAACCAACAAAAACTATACACCCCCCATCCGTGGTTCATATTCCACAACTACATGAGCGCTTGACAATCTCACACATGCAAGCAGACATATCAGCACAATAAGAGGACAAACCACAACCTTACCACGTTCCAACTTTCCACCAAGCAAGAAGAAATCACACACACAACACACACAACACACACAACACACACACGAAACAGTCTGGCACAGTCATGCTTTTTTGGTGGAGTTGTGTATGGTAAACAACACACACACACACACACACACACACACACACGCACACACGAGAAACTGACGGAAAGGAATCAAGTGACAAACCCTAACATTGTCACTTCTTGATACCACACGTCAGCAAGAATATTAATTATTACTACTTACAACAACTTTTCCACTGGCTGTGAGGTCAACACCTTCCATTATGGCAGGACACGGACTAGATCGCAAAAGGACCAGTGCGACCTCACATGTATGTACGCCAACGTGTGTGCCAATCACTAGCTCTCAAAGGTGTACCCCCCTCAGGACATGCTTAGGATGAATCGAGAAGCATGGATTTGGAAGCGCACGACTTCGACAACATCACTGGCAAACAAAGATCATTCATAAAATAGCAAACAAATCGCCGTAAAGAAAAGAACAGAGATGAACACCACGAAGACGAAGTATACATTGGCAAGACAATCATCATGAAATAAATGTCCAAAAACATTTTCACCATCTCCATCGACTCTCAGGTAAGCCCAACAGTCCCAGCAGGGAAAAACATGCCATCATCTGTGGTTTCCAATGTCATGGGCTCCAATTTCAAACACCTAGAGAACCATTACACAAACTGGCCGTCCATGTCATCATGGCTGGCTAGGTGGCTAGCCGTCATGACAATGGCATACTGCCTTCATTTGCCCCACCTATCCATTTCTTCACCCACATCCATCCACTCATGCATTCCATCCATTCATGCATCCATCCATCCATCCGACCATCCATCCATCCATCCATCCATCCGTTCTTTTGTACACCCATCCACCCATCCTCATTATTAAATATATGTGGCCCGGCGGACCACGGATTAGATATTAAACTGATCAGAACAGATACTGCAGTTTATCGTAGCCAAAAGGCCAAGAAACTTGAAGAAAGGTAATCAGATGACCATCTGTTCCACGCAGCAGCATAAAACATGATATTTACAACAGCAATGCTAACGTCATTTCATTAAATTTGAGATACTTAGTTGAAGTTTTCTATGTGCCCCCAAATTGAGATGCAAAATTTCTAACCATTTTTTGGACAATGTTTCATTCTGTGAGAGGTCATATGAAAGAGCATGTTACAAGGGAATGGTATTCAGGTTTGATCATCCTCCACTTAGCATATACTAATTTGGCCATGAAAGCAACCAGATACAAGCAATAGAGTGCCCTGGCGCATACCATGCAGAGCATACAGCGTCCTTAGGACTCCCAATGCTCAACATGGTATGCAGCACACGGAAAAAAACAAAAATAATAACCCAAATGGGTTTAGAAAAAAGTCTCAATTTGGTCACAGGAAAAGAAAATGTTTCAAATTTCAGTTTATTGGACATGCTAAATGTGCTAGCCAAATGTCAGCTATCCGGATGGCAACAAATACATTCTCTTTTTTTTTTCTTCTCTTCTTCTTCTTCTTCTTCTTCTTCTTCTTCTTCTTCTTCTTCTTCTTCTTCCATTTTTTTTTCCTTCTCTTCTTCTTCTTCCATTTTTTTTTCCTTCTCTTCTTCTTCTTCCATTTTTTTTTCCTTCTCTTC